GGTACTTTTACCGAACCTTAACCTTAGCTACCATATGCCGTTGCCAACTAAATGCATGAAACGTTCCAAGGAAAGCTAAATAGGCTAGCGCTTTCAGACAAGTAGCAGATGCAAACTCTAGATGTTGATTTTTTTTTTCTTTTATATCTAAAATGCAAATTGGGTTGATAGTGCGATTTCGTAGGGGTTAGACTGCATTGACAGCCAAATTATCAGAAAAGCTTTAAAATATATCAACCTTCAGATCTATTCTGATTAGATTGCATATTAACCGGAGTCATTGGTTCCTTTATTCGTGGATTTTCTGTAAAGCTGTGAAGGTGCGATTGTGTATGTTTTGCAGCAGGAAGTTTTTTATTGTAAAATCAATGCTTGTCAGTGTTAGTTACCTGAAAATCGCCTGATCTGCTTAGGCACTTAAAAGCTCAACTCGACTAAATGAGTAGAAACTAGTTGTACCTATCTAAAATTGAAGCATTCAATAGCTTAGGGCAATACTTTTGTCGTCCAATAACAGTGGACTTGTGTGCATTCAGTACCTTTTCGTGTACCAGCACTACCAGAAATGTGGTCGCCTAAAACTACAGTATATTTTACCCCAAGGGCACATGGGAAGCGTTTCCGCTTGGGCTCAAGCGGATAAGTCCAGTCATCGGGCTTGAACAAATGGACCTCGCCACTCGGAAACTAGACGAAACAGTCAGTGCAGCGCCAGTATCAAAGATGAAAAGAAAAACTAGTGGTTAAAGGCCTATCTGCTGGCTGGGTCAAATTCACGAATACGTACCAGAACAAGTAGCCCTGGGTGAGTTATGACAGCTGTTCGATATGCGTCCTAACTAAAACACGCACGTAAAGGATACATAGTACATACATCTGTACTATTAATGTACCATTTATAGTTAATCTTCTTATATTAAAATGTACAGGGACGCCATCAAAACTCTCCTCCGGCTTACTCATCTGACGTCGACTTTCGTTGAGGTCTTCACAACTTAAAATTAAAGCTATGCGCTTCTAGCTAGTCGACGAAAAACCGCAAGCGATTGCGGATGTAATTCATATTAATCTTATCACAGGCAACAAATGTACGCGCACACGCATGAGGACAAAAAAGACTCAGATTACCTCAGCGATCGTTGTACTTCGTAAACAGAGATGACTACTGTGAAAGGTAGCGACCGGCACCCATTAGCGAGGTTCACCAATGTGCTTCATGTACTTCGGCTAAAACAATAAGTGTTTTGTGTTTTAAACATACTTTACGATGCCGTAAAGGCGCCTCATGATGATTATCACAATGGTATACTGGTGAGATTCATTTCATTCCGGAACCAAATATGTGCGGGCTTCCTTCGACCACTCAGTTGACTCGATACCAACGCTTCAGGCCAATAGCGTCACACATCATCACAATCACAGCATCTTGGTACTGAGTCAAGCGGTTTGCACACAATGAATGAGTGAAATTGCCTGATAGTTCCAAGAGGTTGATAAGGTAACTAGGTGTTAACGATCTTCAGAGAGATACTAAAATCAGATAACGATGTATGTACGTATTGGCAAATATGCATAGTGAAGGTTGCTTGCATTCATACTCTCTGATGATGGATCTTTTCAATGAATTATTTTCCTAGGAATCTGTCAGCTTTCGGAGGTCACATTTCTCATTACCGCAATTTATCCCTAGGTGATTCCTGTAGCTATGGATAATGTTGCAACGAAGCCTTAAAGGCCTTCAACTACTACCTAAATGGGTCTCATTCAAACCTACTGAGCTCGATCAGTGGTGGTTCAACGTCTTCAAGAAACACTATATCCGCTTTATCGCCAGATTGGGACTGCAAAGTATTCTTCATGCTTAGCCACCATACTGACCTATTGTACGTATACGTGTGTTCCACATGATAGAACTAGCGTTTTAAATAGACAGCAGCGGCAGTAGCAGAAGCAATGGGCCAAGCTTTCCATTGCAGTAGTGTCTGTAATCACCTGATAACGCGAGCTATTCTATGTGAGCAAATAGACGAGTTCCGACCAGCAATAAGTAGACCATCGTCATTAGTTCGATATCGTTCGGTGTTTTCTACTAGATAGTGATAAAAATCTAAAGATATCCTTCGGCCTTACCCGAGTCCGAGTAGCTGTCTAGATGCCTCGACCGGCAGGATAATGTTCGCCTATTGAGAGAACGTATTTACATGTAAGCATATGCAATAGATTTAGTTATAGTTTCTCTGTCAATGTCCAGTGGCCGCTTACTACAATTTTTATCGTCTCCCCTCATCTCTATGCGAGCGACCGACCCTACGGCGACCGATAACACAGCTTTGGTTAAGCGGCTCTGTTTATACTAGACAACGCGATGAGAATTGTGTAATCCTACCGATATGTGATATTGTTTCCGGTATTGTAGTTATCCGAACCGCAACAGCCGACTCCTATTCACGTCGCCTACCTCATCGTGTACGTGCCTGTCTGGATCGGGACCGTTAGGACAAGTGCGTAAGTTAAAAATTGATTGCTTAAAGCTTCCGCATGGTCATTCGTGATAGCATACGGCATTGTCATAAAGGTTGCAATGGTAAAACGCATTTGGCAAACGTTTCAGAAGTGTCTCTGAACCATCCAGACCAGGGCTGATTGTACCATTGGTTATTGGCGTTACAGAAAGCCAATTTTTTCTAATAGCGGTCTGTACATTTTGCATTGTCACCTTGTAACGATAAACTTTCAGCAAGGTAGTTATTTATTAACGTAGTTTATGTATTAAACAGAGATTTACATTATCACATATTAACGTCAAATGTTTAGACATATGTGCGCGCACGTTAGCTGGACTCTCGTTACTCTAAGAATGGGTCAAACAAGAATTACTTATAATTAGGCAAGAAAAATCACGCCAACGGTATAGTTTTAAGCAAACTGCATAGTAAATAATTTTTCTCGGTTCGCCATGGGCAACAATGATAGCGGTAAGGAACTTCGTTCCACTGCCTGATGGATTTCATTTAGTCTATGGATAGTCTTCGATCTTCTGTTTTCTTTAAGTAAAAGACCCTGTCAAATGTGCCAAACATGCAGAGTCAAATAATAACGGGACAAAGTACCGAAAATTCAGCTCTGTAACAAATGCACCTATTTTAACTGTCCAAGTCTTGGTTTTTCCCTTCAGAGTTCAATGCACGAAATAATCTTCAAACGTTTCTTTAATTATTGCAACTATCTCAAAGCATTTAAGATGTGGTTTTTTTTTTTAAATTTCCTGGCCTTCTAGAATACAGAAGATAGATCTAACAAGGAAGTGGGCTAAGGGAACAGAGGCGTCAAGTTTTCTTTTTTAACACTTCAGTTTAATTCAGTAGTGAACTTATCGTAGTGAACTTGATCTCTCCTTGTTTAAGGCAACTCTGGTGGGCAAAGTTACCCAATTATCAGTAAAACTCATTAGCAGATGTACGGTTATGGGAATATTTCATGCGCTTAGAGAATGCCGTTGTAAGGAAATGTTAATTTAACTTGTGATTGTTACGGAGCGCAGGTGTTGTCGATCAATGGAATTATCGACAGCTGCCGGATCTGTTGGTCTTATCATTATCGTTTCGTATTTCAATGAGTTGACACATGTTTTATGCATGAGTGTGCAAAGCGCGGCGTGCAGTACTGCTCTGATCAACCGTTGCGTGCAGGGCCGCCATGGGCATGTGCCGCAATGTCACCAAGCAGTACCTGGTGGCTGGGTAGCCGGATTTAGGCAGGCCCACACTGCGTATATGTACCAGCCACTACGGGGCAAAGCGGGACAGGACACAGGAAGAGAGGTAGAGTGCCAGAGGCGGACAACAGAACATGGCCCGAGAAGCTCACCGCCTAAATAACACGACTCAATAAATTAGTTACCCTAACGCCAGCATCCATCACTGTAGCACAGGCGGCAGTAACTACAACAGACAACAGCCGACGGCTGTAGCACCAGCTGCTTAATCGTATCACTCTTACCTCTAATAGGCAATGGTGTAGGTGCGCGACGAAGATCATATCCAAAGAGCGATACGACGGCCTACAGGCAAACAATCATCGACTTCTAGACTAAACTAGAAAGTCTTCTAGTACACAGGCGATATGTGACATAGCGTATATGCTATATGCCACTACACAAAGGTGCGTGTTTGCGTGTACAGGTTTTCATGGATGTTCCTTTTTATTATTTTTGGAATATGTCTGCATGGGTGGTCAGCTTATGCTTCTTGATTGACTTCGGAAAGACTTCGTTTATTTTGAAAATATCACACACGTTTTTGACGCCAGCAGATCCAATAGTCATGGATTTATTTGTCGTGACGAATAGATCATTATTGCAAGATTAGATTAAAAAAACAAACGTTTTTGTTAAGATGTCTCCGAGATAGCGGGAGATCCCACGCTGCTGAATTATCAAACGAATGTCACGCTGACGTTTTTGATGACCGATTTTAGCTAATGGTAAATAAGGCTGAGGGCAATTTAAGTACAATCCATGTGTCGTCTGCCAGTAGCACTCGGGATTATCTCTTCGACTTCAATAGACATGAAGTGTTATCGACGTTGTTGTGTATCGACACACAAAACAGCTTCCTGTACGAGTAAATTTCTGGTCGTAAAAAAAAATATTTTATAGGACTCCTTGTGACTGTATCATAGAATAGAACTTAATTAATGCTATAGCCTTTAATTTCCATTAGTTATACTTTAGACGTCCATGCAATCACGACATGGGTCCGCCATAACGAATCGTTGCCCACGCAGGTAATGGTGGTGAAGGTAACATTTAACATAACCAGCGGTGGCGCCTAAATTCACGACGCTAAGTTCTAAAGAAGTTTTTCCTTTATCCTATGTCGCAGTTATTCTATAGCATTTCCATTAGGCCTTAAGGTGTAATTATTGCGGCCTGATCCTTTATGTACATATTTATCTGTTCTCTTCTTTACTCTAGTAGCAATTCGAGTTATCATACATACCATTTCGATGTGATCTCACTTTAAGCAACATCCCTGCGAGTTAGAACGAAGACGGGAAAAAGTAACGGTATCCTCACAAAATCACGCACTACAAACGACTGATGGTCAATCTTTCGCACGGCCTGCTTGGGCAGAACAGCGATTGAGCTGCTGTAGCCTTCCTTGGCCATAGGCCCACTGGCCGTTAGCACACTCACCCTCAAATTTCATAGGGCGGTAGACAAACTGCTACACACACTTGGCAACGCGCGCCACTATACTCAGCCCCAGTGTCATCAACAACAGGCGGCCAACTAACCCATCAGCGAGATACGATTCGCAGACGTTACCATTGATGTCACCGAACTTTTTCGTTGGCCAATGTTCATTTTGTTATTATGTCATCCGTGCTCTTGCTTTTGCTAAATTTCACGGCGAATTTTCGAGAAGCTAAAGTAAATCAAAACTTCGTCATTCTCAGAGAGGGCCAGGAAACTAGCTCCGTGGACGTGTGTTAACGCTGAAGGGTACAATCTTTCTTTATAATAATAGTAATACTTCCTCTTCATTTGCCATCGAAGTAACTTTCGTCGAAGAGCGCGTACAGTTTAGAATCCTCCTGAGTTTCTCGAACAGATCTCTCCGGCAGGACACTTGACCTTTTCAATATGTAACAGTAATGTCCAGGTAATGCATATTTTCTATTAGGCTCCACATAGCTTAAAGTCTATCGAGGCTATATTGACTGATCTAAAGTGACATCGTATCGAGTTATCGAAATAACTTTGTCCTTACGTACCATTCAGGCCAAAATGACTAAAAAGCACTTTGAAAATGGCCTCAGCTTGCGTGTTGCAACTGCAAATTGTGCGTCGGATGGACCACCGTCATCAAAGACGCAGATAAAGCAGGCAACTAACCCGAAAAATGCGTTGTGGTGGTGCTGCCTGCCTACCCTTCTGCTTGTGCCTACGGTGATTTGATCAGGAGTGTGAAAGGGGGAGGGGGTGTCAAAATTTCGGCCGTTTTTGCTGCCACCGCTCCCGCACCACGAATTCCAGAATGACGATGATCTTCTTTTTCTTCCTCATTTTTCATCTCCTCATAGAGTGCTACTATTAATGTATTCGTGACTGCAGCTGCTATGGCCGCCTTAGCCATACAAGTAGAGTAAAAGACAAGCGGCAGAGTAACCCGGAGGCGCGTGGAGTTCTAATTCTACAGTTTTCGCAACGACTTCTCCAGCAACAGCCGTCGCTGCGTTTCCCGAAAAACGGAGGTGATTTCATGACGTCATTGTGACGTAGGCCCTGCTGACGTCAGCGATGTCGTCATGGCCAGCGTGGGTCGGTCGAACCGAACAACTAATAAGTACGGGTTGCGCGTTTGCATCCGAGCTGCCCTGCGGCAGTGGTGGCCAACCGATCACTCCTCTTCTGTGCCCGTTCGCCGCGATGCACTGCGCAGGCCTGCAGGTAACCGCAGCAGCAGAAGGCAACTCTAAATCTTCTCATAGACGCACATATGATCATATACAGATACAACCATAAATAGACAGCCACATAATGACACACACTCAGCAGGTAGAACCGAACTGCTAGCATAAAACTGACAGAAAGGATCGCTGCAGGCCGAGTGTCTTGAGCGAGCCTGGTAGCGCCACCTATCGAGGACCTGGGTACTACTGCAAGCTAAGAGACAAAAGGCGCGTATTCCGTTAATCTGGCTAACTGCTTAGAGTGACACGGACAGCCTACCGTGCAGCTTAGTAAATAAGAGGAGAGAACCCTCAAAAGCGATTTCCGGGGATACAGTAAGCCCCTTCGACGACGTGTGTAACGGAGCTATCCCAAATCAAATTGATAGTAATCGGCAATGATTTATTGGATTAAGTTATCAATTTCGTTTCACATTTATTGCGTAGGCATACTATAGATCTATAGTAAGAAAACAAAATTCAGTATCATATAAAAATTCAACGTTAATGCATACTTCAAGTATGCACATACGGGTGTCTTCCCTTGCGACCATGCTTGTTAATAATGTCCTGAAGTCCAAACAACAACTGCGCGGCTTCGTAATATCCTCAGCGTAATAAAAGCTCAATGATCATGACAACGAAGACGTAAACAAACTAGTCTCTACTGCGGCTGCCAGGCCTGCTCTAGACTTCAGTAATTGTGTTACTGTGTAATGACTGTTGCGGTTCATATCTTTAAGGGAAAGTGCACAGAGAGATTAACGGAGATAAAATTAAAAAAAGGAAAAAGCTTGCCTGTGACCAATAAGGCCAGTAACTCTTTCTCAAGGTTTTGCCAAACAACTTCGGTATTGGGCAAATTAAACTTGGCCAATGTGGGTTCGTGAATATCTGTATTTACCTATTCAAAGTGGGTTTCCTTTAACTCTCTCTTTGTGTCTATTAACAAGGTGTCCATTCATTTAGTTCGATCCAAGAACTAAGGAGTGGCTCGAGGTTGAAAAGAGAGCTAGCTAATATTTTATTATTATTATCTCGCTGAATTCTGTTACGGTATACATTAGGTTGTTCAATGCCAATATCTAGACATTTGGAATACTATCATAATTTGGAATAATACCAAAAACGTCGTTTCGGTGAGCGGAATTTTACTGGTAATATAGGAGCTGGCGTCTTGGAAGCCATCTTGGAAAATGTACTAGTATGTGCTCGATGTTCTTGCATAAGGAACAGAATCGATTTCTATAGGCCATTTATGTACTTGCAGAATGTGGATTTAGTAATTTTTAGCATGACCTTTTAAGTATACTAGTACGCTAAGTAATACATGTTTAGTGGTATTTTCAGTTTTGGTTAAAATAAATCATTGGGCAGACAATAAAGCAACGTAAGATACACGACTACCGAAGATGCTTTTTTCTCCGTGAAAGAGGGGTAATAACTCCGTAAATAAAATAGTAAATCAAAACAGGGGAGTGATTATTTTTTTTTTCTAGTAAATCATAGTGGTAATTGGTTCAAAAAAATAATCCCAAAAACTTATGGGACCAATGGGCAAGTGATCTTTTTTAAAGAAAAGTTAAAAGTTACAGTGTGTATCATTATCTTGGGTGAACATTGCAGATACTGCGTTATACGCATTTTTTAATAAAGTCAACGATTGTTACACAATTCAAGCTCCAGTCGTATTTAAGCGTGAATTTAATATAAGAATATTACAGTGTAGTTTTAATAGAACTCTAGGGCAGAATATGAAAGTAGGATTTTTTTTACCACTACCTACAAACGCTTGCCTCCACGCTGCGTCTACGAAAAAATTTTCGTGAAATGCATTTCTGCATTAGCCTGTTATATGTATTATTGTGTATGTTGTTTGCAGGTTATCTAAATGAGGACTAGAAAAAAAAAGCTCAATAAAAAAACTAGACATAGAAAATCAACTGCCTGAAATTATACGATAGTCTGAGTAAATTCAGAACGCTTGTGAAAATCTACTTGGACGTCGTCTTAGGTATGCCGAGGTGTTTCTGTGCTAGCTATACTTCAGGACGCCAAAGGTGACTTTATATTTAGCCTGGAAGCGTGCTGCTAGGGTACTAGGGGCATGTATATAAGAAGCTGAAACAGGCTGATAGATAAATACATAGGTGCACGCAAAAATCTCCGATTAGTATTTGCCGCTGTTGCAGTGACAATTCACATAAATCCTTATCTAAGCATGTGAACCCTCACAATATGTTACACTAACATTTACCATTTCTCAGTTGATACAACGTATGTAAAAAATATTAACAAAATTATATTCTAAACGGTAGCTTTTAGGTTTTGTTAGACGCGTATGTCGTACGTGGTGCTTATTATGAAATACATTTTCATGTTTACTTTAAATAAACAAATAAATGAACTCTAATGTGGTCAGAGAAATCCCCGAACTAATAACAAAAGACTAATAACAAGCTATAATTCGGTAGGACACTATAACATAGGAACTCTTGATATCCGAACCCTATCGCAAGTGATTTAGGTTTAACTAGGTTTAGGAATATTGTTTAGGAATTCGTTTTTCTTTCAATTAAAAACGTACGTGAATGAACCTTACGCGCATACGTCTGAGCTACTCAGATGGAGCAAAAAAGCTAATTAGGAAAAAAACGTAGTTTAACGACAGACTTCATCGACGATTTTTTTCCTAGAATAGAACCACAGCGGGTATTCTTTTATGGCTTCTTTATAGGATAACGATTTTCACGATTAGATATGTGTCTTATCCCGTTATTGAAACAATATTCAACCAGGTGCTGGTACACAGCATATTGAAACTGTTAGTAGATCTTCTTCGACAACACCTAAAATTGTTTGGCACCGTCTACGTTTGAAATTTTAGAACCTCGTAATGTACGGAGCAAAGTAAAGGTCTCTGGATGATTTCAAAAGAAGTCAGCTTAAGACTATTCACTTGATTGCTTCATTTCTATATTTACTACATTTTACTCTACTGAACAGATGAAGACTCTTAAAATATAGAAAAACTTTTGCCACATAGTTCTTCGATGTCCCCTATATGTTGCTAGATCTAGTCTCCACCACAATATATATAGTTATATGTGAGAAATCGATCATTTAGAGTATTTACTGGAATGTTTTCACATTTGCTATATTTAAACGGTAAGATCATTGCTGACCCCCTGTCGATGACTTGGCATGCTTCGAACCACATAAAATCTCTCTAGGTGTACGCAAAGCGAGTTTAATGTATGGGCACAGATTGTAACACAGCGAGATGAAAATGGAAAAATCTTCATTCCGTTTTAAAGATGCATCACACCTCGGAAAATTGCACAATCGGTATAAAGCGTATTGGCTCGGTATATTGATACTGAGATAAATTCAAGCATATGCTGTTTTTAGCTTAAACTGAATAGAAAAACGGGGTGAGAAAATACTTCATCGAGACAGGTCGAATGGGAAAATAAAACAGTATTTCGCATAGTAATATATGGCGCAGACCTAGTCTGGTTAGCTTATCACTAGCCAGAATATACGGGCCCACGATCTGTCGCAGTTAGATCGAAGTAGATGTTCAGCGCTACGTAGTACAACGCTTACTTGGCCTCCAGAAGTTCTAGCTGACTCTTGAGTTACAGTCCAGTAGATGGCTGCCCGTCTGGTCTCAGTAGCTGGATCAGTGAATGACCAAAACAATTAGTATCATAGGTAAACAACAGTGATATGAATCGTTTTGGAAGCTTTCCTGCCTTCTCCTTGCGACAGTTGCTTCTGCTGCAGCCGCCATTAAGCCAGTTCGTACTGACGTCCCCGGGGTCCGCGGCTCTTATCCTTCAAAGATATGTTTTTAGTTACGTCGGTTCTGTTCGGGGGGTTCGAAAATCGTAATGTGGAAAAGCTAACGATTATCTCTTCCACATGTTGTCGTCGCGATCAATATTCACGGAGGTAATCTGTATATATTTTGAGCTTCTAGCCGACGAAGTCCCAATTCTTAGTCTGCCCACATGCTAATGAAAGGTAAACATCAAGCAAATGAGTTTCAGCATACATATACATGACGTGAAGACTTCTCTGTCTAAACACTACAAATGCGGTTTTGTTACAATTTAAGTATCTTAAAGGTCTAAATGAATCTTTCTTCGTTCTTCCATTCTTCACTCTAAAAATATTAAATATAAAACAAAGGTTAAATAAGAACGCGTGGCGAAGATTGACTATAGATCTGTTTCCCAGCTCCCAATATGGCCGGATGCAGCATTATCCATCTGCTTGTAAATATAGTGTTTTATCGGAAAAACATTACTATCGATATCTACGTACCTGGACCAATGTTGTCTAGTTTCTGCCTTCTGTGTCATTATTAGCAGCCAAAGCGGCGCTCGAGTCGGCTCGTAATGTTGTCGTATGACGGCCACGGGCCTCAGGGCTAATGAAAAAGGAAAGACTTATGTCGCAGAGCAGCCCCGAAACCCAAATAAAGTGCGTTCCTTCGTTCACTTACAGCCGATGACAGCGGCGAAGAACAAGAAGCAACGGCGGATGAAGCAAGGCTGAGTCGCGTCACTTCGCTGTGAAGCTTTTCTCAATAATATGTGAAAAATTGAGTACCAGCATATTGCACAGCATCGACAATTGTCATTGCCTACTGTTACTGTGTACATATCCGATTCGAACGGAAGGCAGTCTGATCGGCATGGGACGACTCCGCTGCTGTGAAGACGAAAAAAGGGGGATGCATTGCTATCTTATGAAAGTGGCTGCATTTGCGCTGACAGTGGTGTTCATCATTTGGCGAAAGCCGTATCACGGCACCGTGATAACGGCCCGTTACACAACAAATGTCTGGGAATCAACCACCCGGTCATCCCCAGCTGACTGGGTATCGAAAATCGGCTAAGCTAAAGCGTCCTATGATTACTGGTTACCAGCGTTCGTTGATCGCTTGCTAGTCAGAGAAGTTCTCGAAGGCCAAGATAAATCGTTCATCAGAGCTACACGGCGCAAACGATCCCAACCAGTCCTAACCATGATTGATGACCTACCACTATAGAACGTGGCAGCCCCTGATCTGGAAGCTGCCGACGATTGTATCAGGTAATCAGAAATGGTCAGGGCAGCTTTTTCCGCTGCTCTGGGAGACGTATTACAATGTCTGCACCACGAGAAACATTTGGCAAGCAAAACCCGAACTTTTTGACCAAGTTAAAAATCGGTTTTTGCCGTCAAATAACGTTGAACCGTAATATATTCACGGAGAAAGGAGTAGGAACGAGAAAAGACAATGCGCATCTATGCATAACGTATATGCAAGCCTCGGACCCACCACGCATATACTTCTAGTCCCCCAGATCGACACCGCTCCTCAATGCTTCCCTGACGAGAGCAGCATGCGACAGAGATAGAAGTCTGAGAGCTCGAAGTCTTTATCCTAAGTAGCTAACAAACATCTTGCTAAGCACAGATGAAAAATAAGTAAATAAAAGAACTACATCAATATAAAGATGAAACGGCGAAGGCGAAAGAAACGCTTCACGGTTACGATTGCTTTATAAATGATGGTTTACCTGTATTTATGGTCTTCCGCAAGCAGCTTGACTTTGTTAATGCTGCTACTGCTGCTTTGTTGATCGCAGTTAACGATTGACGCTGCAGATGCTGAAGTATCAACGACAGGTGCATTGTCTGCTGTTGCTATTGGCGGTAGCGGGCGGCATTCGAGCAACGTTCCACTGCCACTCCTTTACACTGCTGGCGAGATCATGCTTTCGTTCCCAGTATCCGCCGAAGGGGCGGACCAACCGCATATGGGTCAGGAGACGTCCATAACATCGTCAACAGTTATACCGGTAGAGGCATTAATGAAAGATATTGACTCAATGCGGATATTCACTTCATCATCCACCCCCTGCGAATCAACAACACCACTGCACATATATAAGAGTCATGTGATAATAAATGTAATAGTTGTTATGACAATATTACGGTAGGTGTTACACGTTCGTAAAAAATCAACAAAACTAAAGAGGAAGTACGACAGTATTTGAAAATAAAAACAAACAATAAGCTGAGTTAACACGTTGCCCCCAATATACTATAAATCATACAGTGTTTTTGCTACATCTTCGTTTTTTTTTTTGCTTCGTGCGTATATGTTAATACATCCGTTTTTCACCGCATTACTGCTACATCCCTTAAGCGCCTAATTCGACCGGGCAATTTTCTAATGGAAGTCTAAACGCTGCGCAGCTTAGAACAGAGCTCTAAAGCTACAAACGTATGATAGAAAACAGCAGTCGATGTTTGGCGGTCATTTATAGGCCGATTCTTTTCTACCGTTGAACGATCTAACGTAGTTAAATGAGACCTCGCGAGAAGCTAGAGGGTATATTATGAAGCGGTTGCTCTTGGGCGGCGCAAGCTTTCACAGGGTGCTCCACGGTTATTTTTCGCTGTCTTATCGGCGGAAATGCCGTAGGAAACAGTTGATCAACTGTTTTACCCAGCCCATTTGGGGCTCGGTTTGACTTGACCTGTGTCGACCTAGCAGAGCTGCAGGACAGCTGAAATGGTTGATGCAACAGGCAGACCCACAACACACGTAGGCAAAGTCCGGCCACTAAAATTCACCTTCATCAGCGTCGACGGTAACTGGTACATATTGTGAATGCGAGTCGTTGTAGTTGTAGTATCGTCAGAGCTTATGCTGTCCTATTTAATTAGGATGGCCAAGCTGCTTTACGGGCAACATCAACGAGGGGACACACGTGATGTTGCCCGTAATGATGACAGCACTAGGCAGGGGCCGGCCAGTTACAAACAGGTCATCTCCCCATCTTTTTCAGTCAACTTTTCTCAAAATTTCAATTCACTTTTGAACATCCTATTTTACTAATGGTTACTATTTCGATATCTAGTCAGTTGCACAGGCAAACAGCGAACTCAAAATCCGTAAACATTCTTCATAAACGATGTTCTGGATGTTACTTTGGTGTTTTTGTGGCCGTTACAATTTGACTTGTATCGGAGACCAACTTCGCTGTAGTCTCCCCGAAATACGCACTGGTTACCTTCGATCAATCGCTCGTTTACTTAGCCGTTGTTAACTGACTAATTTACGAAGGGTCCAATCAAGAACGCTTTAGCGTTTATATAAGGAGAACTAAAAATTGTTTGTACCGCAGTGCTGAAATACTGTTTCCACTGTTATAGGTCCAGAGAGGCTTTGGAATCTACGTGGTATTTTTGTGGTATACTACTGGAGAAGCCATAAATGTCTAGGCAGCAAGAATTGTTTTTTTTTTCCACAAATAACGTTACGTGGCATAAATATACACGTCTTCTTTTTCCTTATACTACCTTTATAATTTAATACAAATTTAGGATACTTCGGAGTGTAATAAAATGAATTGTGTTCGAACCGACTCACCAGAAGGGCTTCTTACGACCGCAATGATTTGCTTGTATCTATTGATTTTTTTATTATAATTTTGATTTAGAAAATTTGAAACATACCAAATGTTTTAGTTTTAGTTTATACAATCGCAAAAACGAACAGATTGGGCGCCTCATAAAGTAAAATCTTTGGACAGAAAGCCCAAACAGATGTGTAGTGAGACATTTATTCATACACATTAATTAGTATTCATTGTGTTAACCCAGCCACAAATTAACCCAAAGCGACATAGTGCTTCGACGAACATCTGCGGCGGATACTTAATTCACCCAGTTTCTATAGAGGTCACAGTGGTCTTTTGGCATCCCTTCCGAGCTTGATTGTCCTCTATTGATAGAAAAGTCTATTACTTTATAGTAGAATTTGTAAGTTATCGGTGTAAAGGAGGCTCCCGAGGTTCCGCCTATTAGGTGAACACAGCTAGTTCAGAGAACAGAGGTAGGTTGGCTCTCAATTTTTTCAGCCAAGACTCACCGGGATATTAAATTCATATAAAACAAAGTTATTATCTGATTCTGTTCGTGCGGCTACTTTCGATAGCTGGCAGCTTTTTTTAGGTACGTACAACGATTCTAAAGAACAACTGAATATGTGTAGTTGTCCTTAATCGCTGCACACACAGACATAGCCTAAATGTCTTTGCCAACGTCCCTAGAACCTCTCTCGCGCTTCTCAACCACATTACGTATGATATAATAAGCGTGACTCTGTATACGTGAATGTGCCATAGGCTACATAGAGCAAAGGGCTTTTTTGTACGTTGTGATTGTGTACACAACAGGATGTCCCTAATAATCAATTTTTAAACGACCATTATTGATCGCATTTCCCCTCGTCCGGATTACTACACGCCATTTAATGTGCGCGCGTACGTTTGGCTATCAAACGCTCAACTACATTAGGAGAATACCATCACCCCATCACCCCATCAACCCAATAGCCATCCAATCAACTGTGACGCGTACTCTCATAGTCGAACCATAGCGCTATATTTGAAAATGGACAGTGCGAACTAGCAAACGCACGGGCCAGCCGATCTTGATGAACTTCCGATGGCGAACACCACGATCGTACATCGGCCCTTTACTTCGTTGACCCAACGTCACACCCCGTCACAATGCTCGTTCAACCGACGGTGCTTATTCGTACGTCAACGACGGAACTTCTTTGTCACTTTGTATTATAATTTAAATGCCATCTATTACTGTCAATCCGACAATTTTGGATAGGATTGGGTGTTTTTTCTTGTCGGTGCTGATTCGTCGGCTCGTCCATCTTCGTGGTTACAGTGACTACTATCGGTGACATATCTTCGAAGTGCGTCAAATGTATTGATCTCTCGGATTCATGATGCCGACGCTGTGTTGCGGTAACATACGGATAAGCTGTCTCCACTACCCCCCCCCCCCCCCCCGCTCCCCACTAAACACTCCCCTAGCCACCCGGATTCGATCCTAAAGTACAACATTCCGCGCCATGCGCTTATATGGCAACGACCATAATAGGAATACATAGTAGTCAATTATTTCATTTTTATGGTCGGTTGTTACTTGACAGTTTTTGTTTCGTTCGACGAGCATTTGGTGGGCAACTTGAAAAGGTCTATAGCATTAAATGCAAGGCCCTGTCACTGCGATGTCTTCTAGGCATGATACAAGAACACCCCTGTGCTACGTTGAGCTGAGACTCCCCTGGCACGGGACTCACAGCGTGGCCACAGATGTCATCGGCCGACGCGTTAAAGCGACTTGTTAATACATTGCTCTGTTGACATCGCCGATCATCGTTCCGACATTAATTTTACTAGTTTAGCTGGTATTGGCTACATTCATTATAAACCCTTCTTCAATCACATAACTGTGGCCGTCACTGCTTTGCCAGGGCAGATTGAGTAACGGAAGGCACTACAACGTTTGGTTAACGGGCGTCCGTATGACCAATTTATTTATTACGATGATGACCTGCCATGACGATTCTATCCCACCTATCTTCCATCTTCATTTACATTTTCCACTTTTACTCTCCGCAATAACAACAAAGATAATTGTCAGTGAATGGTGTCCTCGCGCTCAATGATTCCTATGTAGAAGTTTGTTATTATCGTTGTACGTATCGCCATGCTGTAAATAAATAGTATCGATTATAGTGTGCAGGAGTGGTATATAGACAAGTGAAATAGTGTGTGACCGATGGAGGACGACGCGTCCAATGCGTTTGTGTGCGTCCGTGGGGCTCCGCTGACTGCGTCTTCCCATAGTTCTATAGTCCGCTGGTAGCATTTAACCGCCTGCTATCTGACGAACGCCGTTCACCGCCGTAGAATCTCTATACTGACATTTCAAGTAAAATATCAAAAAGACGTGCGTTTTTTTGTCCGCGTTATCGCCGCTATCAGTTATAAACCACTAACAATTATTAGCTTCTACAAACTGTTTATTATCGTTATTACAATTATAATTGTGGTAGTAAATTATTGCGCAGATATAAAAAGTCTAACAGGAATAAGAACGATGCTTGCTGTGAATACCGATTAACGTCATCGAGTAAGAAACGTTGTTTATTTTCAAATGTGTGTATGTGTATTAAACGAAAATGTAAACCGTTGCATTAGGCGTTACTTGTTGATTTGTCAGCCAGCCTCAACAAGAAGGAACGCAATTCAATAAAAGGTAATCCTGTAACAGGAAATTACTTTTACCGAAAATGCTCTGCGCTCATCTAAATATGTACGGGGATTAAGACACAACAAAGTCAGAACCCGACAAAGAGAACGATAAATTAAAGCAGGTGAGCCTATCGTAAGAGGTCGATTCCCAGATCGGCCATTCACAGTGGCGATACCGTTTTATGGAACAGTCCTCTGTCTCACTTTAGAGTAACCTCTGGTCGATACGCCAGCAGTTCCTTTGTACAATAGTCAGATGTCCTTCAAGGTTTGACGAATATGGAGCTACGAAGACTTTGGTTTTGTCTTCATCGCTCTTCGTGTGCAGCTCGAATTCGTCTGGCTTCTATCGTATATCGGTGGTAAGTTGCCATCTGGGCACCTGGCATTCGCAATGGATATAAAAAAGTGACATAAGAGCTTACCCAGACACTCTGCTTTGCGATTCCTTATCGAAGCGTGCCATATAATTTGTGTATTTCGTGGGCTTAGGCCAACATTTTTTATACTGGTTATACTGGCTAGACACGGAAACTAGCTGTTAACAGTCTGCCTAGCTCGAAACACTTAATTATTCGAGTGCAATCGACCCACTGTCAATGAGGTAGCCGCGGATGCTTACACCTGATTCATAGCGGAAGCCGAGTGATGATTCTACAAACAGCGAACGTACCGAAACTGCGATGGATGATGCGTGCAATCAACTCAATTTTCCTTTTTATCGCTTTGCAAGTGTGTGTATGGCGTCTGTTATGGTATCTCGCGTAGTGCTAGTTCCAGCCACGGCAGTCAGAGTTGAAAAATTGTCGATAGAAGACGAGGGTGTTTGCTGAGAGAGACTCTCGAAAGCCCAAGCTAACAAAGC